GCAGCACGCGGCTAGGTGTGGCAACTCGGTGCAATATATGGGATGCGACGACTGCAGGCACTTGGAGAGTAACAACAGCCTCCGCACTGGTCCAGTGGTCAGGATTTCTCGCTCTCACCGAGACGGCCAGGGTTCGATTCCCTGGTGCGGAATCTTTTGCTCGATCCGGCTTTTCTCTGTTTTGCTCTGTTCTGTTCTGCCTTGCTTTGATTCTTCTGTATGACTCTGCAGTGAAGCGGCCGCCTCAGTGGCACATAATGTGCTGCCCGCCACTATTTGCTGTACCTGCCAGGAGGTGTTCACAGCACTTGGCTCACCCAGCCATTTGCCGTGTTTCACGTCAATATTTTCCTCGCCGTTTCGGGGAGTTTGAACGGCTGTGAAGTGGGAATATCGCACCGGCTGCAACCATGTGTGGCACTGTGGACTAGCCGTCGTGTAGATTGACCAGTGCAATACCGCCAGTCGGCTAGAGTCGCTTGAACTGCTTGAGCCGCTTGGGATGGAACTTGGACGACTGCTCTATCATTCTATGGCTCGATTGCTCGCTCTAAATGACGCACGACGAAGACCCCTCCCAGGAGCATCCAGGCTGCTGAATCGAGGATTCAACATAGGCAATCTAACTGCCAAACCAGCTGAGGCGAGTCTCGTACCGCATCATCCATGCATATTCACATTGAGTCGAGCCTAATCGGCCGCAGCCATGGCGTTATCACGGACAGAAGTGCATTCTTCCGAGTAGCCACCCATTTTCCATGACTCTTTGTTGCGCAGACTCTTCGCCAACTGGTTGCAGTTTGTAGTGAGTGTGCTGTATTGGCAACTTTGCCGACACGTTGAACTCTGCTCTCACAGTTGTGCACGGTTTCTCCCTCTTGCGCACGTCACTTTTGTTGGACACTCTAAAGAACTCAATAGGATGGCTGCATGTCCTGGATTGCAGAGTGGTACTCGGCAGAGCAGTAGTCGGTAGAGCAGTAGTGGCCAAAGCAGTAGTCGGCAGAGCGGTTGTCGGCAGAGCAGTACTCGGCAGAGCAGTAGTAGACAGTGCGGCAGTGGCCAGAGCAGAACCAAAAATCAGAGCGGTTTCGTGGTGTAGTCGGTTATCACGTCTGTCTAACACACAGACGGTCCCCGGTTCGAACCCGGGCGAAGCCACTTCTTTTCTGCTTTTGCCTGCCGCGCCGGCGCTGTCTACTGCTGGAGGCTGTCTGTCGTCTATTACTGGAGGCTGTGGCTGTGTCCATGTCCGTGGCCATGGTCATGTCTATGTCTATATCTATACGCATCCGCTGTGTGCGTGCGATTATTCAACGCATCGGCGCAACTATGCAAGTGGCGAATGGAGAACGGCAGATAGACACAGAGGCTGAGAGGCTGAGAGGCAAGTAAACAAGTAAACAAGCAAACAAGCAAACAAGAACTTGCTTCAGGTGGAAAAGGCGGCATCGGGTCTGCATAGATAGGATAAAAGCACAACAGAAGATGCTCCTGCCTATTGAATGGCGCACCGAGTGCTCGGTTTACATGAGCAGTAGCTGGGACGCTCGGATATCGCGAACAGCCAGCTAGCCAGCCAGCCAGCTAGCCAGCCAAGTACTCGGAAGCATCGCTTGGAAGGATCGTCTGTATATCATTCTGCGTGCAAATGTGTATGCAAATGTGCGTGCAAACGTGCGTGTGCAAATGCGTGTGAAAATGTGTGTGCAAATGTGCGTCCAGCTGCAGTGAAGTGGATACACCATTTCAATAGAAAAAGATATACCATCCAGCGCGAACGGATGCGATGCACTTCGGCTGCACAGGTCGACTTTGCCATATCAAACGAGCAGACAGCTCCGTGGGGAGGAGACATGCTAGCTTCTTGAGGAGGAGAAGTGACACGGGGAGAGTGCACGGTGTGCCAATCCTCTGCACAAACATGCTTTTGCCATTCGCGGCATCCTTGTGCTGCGTCTTCGCTCGGCCGGGACTGTGCGTTTGTTTCTCTAGTCTTGGCCGCTTTCTCATCTCTGTCTATTAGTTAGACCGAGAGGAGGATTCTCCCGGCACTTCTCCGGCTCCTCTCGCAACAGCCTTTCTCATAATGGTGCCAGTTCACACCTATGCGGCTTGAACCAGCAACCTGCCTCTCCGTGGCGGCAACTTTGTACATCTGCCGGCATGCGACGCTGT